TAGGAATCTATTTTTCGGGAGAGGAAAAGATAGCGGTGAGACGATAGGCGAGAGCTCGACCACGCTCACGGTGGGCAGATACGAAAGCGCCGGAGAGACCCTCTAGTTCCTCAACGGTTTCAGCCAGGGCATCGAGGTGTGCGTCCATAGCTGCAGCGTCGATACTACTACTGTAAGACTCCTGATGTCGAGGTCGTTTTCCTTGCTCCACGCCTGGACACAGCTCTACCAGTTTCTGGTGTGTAAAGGTAGGGGGTGAATTTCCAAGAAAAAACATCACGCGATGAAACTACTGGATCAGGACATCGCTAGCTGATATTGCATTTTTGCGGTCGTGACTTATAACCTGGCCACACCTCAAAATAATCCATTTTTTAAACTGTTAAAAGTTATAAAACTACTTTTAGTTTCACTGCTTATTCCCAGTGAATGCAGTCGAAAAAAGTGGCGACAAAATTAAGAGTCAGACAGAGTTATGAACCAGATCATAAGTAGTTTTCAAAGCCGTGAGATTTCTTCCAATGCTTAACGAGCTGGTTTGACTCTGTGTTTTGGTTTTGTGGTGCTCCACCATTGGACGGTCTGACCTATAAGAATACGGGGAGGACTAAGCAGTACTGCTTAAGCCAAATTTTAGTGATTGAACCCCTTGGACGCCTCGGCATTATACAGGCTAACACCAATAGCCATTAACCTCCGCTTCATGGCAGACAATCTGCTCAAATATGGCCCCCTTTTACCTTCAGCAAAATTGCGAGGTAGTTTACTAGTGGCATCGAAAAGCAAACCTATTTTTAAGTCACAAATAATCAAATTTCCACCCTTAGATGCCGAATTTGCGGAAGGCCCTGGAAGGTCTAAAAATGACGTCTATTTTTGACAGCTGCAGGAAAGCTAAAAACAAATGAAAGCACTTTAACCATGAACCGTCTAGAAGGATTGCATTATCGGGGCTGCACACCGCGCCGGTATGAAGATATGAACAAAGCGAATACACAACTCATCGCCCAATTCCAAACTAGGCGAATTGAACTCAGACAGACAAGCATGACTGAGGGAATCAAAAATGAAAAAAAACTGGAAACAAGATTTGGATGCAAAAGCCACCTCCATGGCACTAATTCAACTTCAGCTGTGAGACCAGTCCAGTTCTGACTAGGATTTAGCAGGCTTGCCAGGCAGTGCATTCTCACCTTTGTGCACCAAAAATTCCAAAACAGCAAAAAAACTGTAGTTTCAGCGGAGTGGTGGCATTGCAGTCAAGGTTCATTACTGGTGCAGGTGACTCAAAGATAGCCTACCTAAACTATAGAACTACGTTTTAACGAGAAATATTATTCGCCAACGGAACTAAGAACGGTAGTGGTAACTTAAGTTCCTAAGGCTGTAATAGGAAGGGGAAGATTTGCAACATTTTCAACAATTCCACGTATTAATTATAAAAATGGGGTTTGAGTCGCTTTTGAATAGATGTTTAAGTTAATTGTCTCTCAACCTCCTATTTCACTCCACAAACTGGTTCATCTCCGCAAGCCGTACACCCGATTGCGCATACGGTTGTCCACCCGTACCTATTACCTATCATCCCCTATGCAAACAAATAATAAACGTCTCTTCTTTTTTATTGCCAAGGCCTAGGGACCTGCTTAGTTTATAGATGGACTGTTCATGTCCGACGACTTGAATGAAACTACCATCATATTAATAAAGGTAGCACGTTATGGGCTTAAAACAAACACAAATTTTAACAGAGGAACCTTGTTCTGACAAAAAACTATTGAAATGGCTTACAGGGAGAGAACGAGGAAAAAAGAGGGAGTCTACTCTCTTCAGTGGGTGCCCTTGTTCGATTTCATCTATTCCTCAGCAGTGCGAAGTCCAACTCGATTCTGTTTAGTG